TGCGCAGCTGGCCTCCGTCAGCCTCACGGGTGCAGCCCGCCCGCGTCAGCCTCAAGACTGGCCGATGGGCACTTGGCTCCTCTCGTTTTCACTTGGTGCTCTGGGATACCGCCCGGGGTCCTGTCACCCACGGCTGTGGGGCTGGTGTTGGTGCTGGCCACGGTGGGACTGTGGATTTGGTGACCCGTGCGACGACTCCACACGCCAAGATGGGTGGTGGCTCCGTGGCCCCCAGCACCCCAGGCAACAGTAGGTGCCGTAGCTGGAGATGTGGCAGTGTGTTCTGGTCACGAGCTCCTGTGTGAGCGGTGAAGTGTGTCCCCCCGAGGACGGACCGGGAAGTCGGCCTCTCCTCCGGGGATCCCCGTCACGAAGGGTCCTGGCTGCCCTTGCTGCTGGCCTGGGCAGAGCTGTGCCCTCACGCGGCACCGACTGCTGGCACTGTTCCTGCGGTTCTGAACGGGTGGGCAGCCGTGGGGCAGAGGGACGCACAATGCCTGTGGGCCCGTGGACGTGTACTGCCCTGCCCACCATAAGCCCTGGAGTGGCTCCTGCTTGCTGTGGAATCAGGCTCCAGAACCCTGGACGGCCACAGGCACCGATGCTGTCCCAGCCGTGTGGTCCCGGCCTCTCACAGGCCTGACCTGCCTGGCCCAGGGTCTCAGGGGAGCCACCTAGAGTCCAGCCAAGGGCCGTGCATCCTGAAAGCCTGGCTGCGGACCCCTCGCCTCCATCTGGGAGAGGCACAGCTTGTGCCTGACCCTGGGGGCAACGCTGCCCCGGCCTGCAGGCTGAGGAGGGTCCTGCAGGAGGCAGAGGCCAGGCCTGGCATCTGCCTGGGGTACTGCCCACCCCCTCTGCCCCGCACTGCCAGCTCCCCACCTGGGCCTGGCCCACGCCCCCACCCTTCCTTCCATCAGGCTGTGTAGCGTGCACTATACTCGGGAAGACAGCTTGACCGCAGGGAGGCCAGGGAATGGCAGGGGGCTCCCCTTACCCCCAAATTCCTCTAGGACGGTGTGACACTGCTGGGTGTGGGAAGCAAGGGGCCGGGGAAATGCAGAGTGGGGGTGTGCAGGGCATCCCATCGGGACACCCGGGGATCCTCCAGGCTGCATGGTGGCCTTTTCCGTTCCTCATTCCCTGCCCGGCCACTGGGTGGAGGCAGACAGCCCCGGGCTGGGAGCTTCCCTACAGGGCCGGGGAAGCCGGTGCCCTGAACTAGACGTGCTCGGTGACGACAGAGCAGGTTGCTGGGCAGGGCCTGGGGCAGTACCCATGTTCCCGGGCCCCCTGCATCGAGCGCTGTCGGGGAGCTGGGCCGGAGGGCGGAGGGGGAGATGCCATGCTCCTGGCCCTCTCGTGGTGGTGTGGGGAGCCGAGAGTGAGGGCCGAGTTCCCACGTCCCCAAGCTGCCCTTCATCCAGAGGCATGGAGAACGGAGGACCAGGAGTCGAGAACCCACATTCCCAGGGCCCCTTCGTCGAGAGGAAGCCTCACAGCAGGGAGCCTCCTCACGGACTTGGGGGTGGGGGGCAGTCCCAGTGCACCTGTCCCCTCTCAGTGGCCAACAGTGACCCTTGTGCTACAGCCTTGATGTGCTGGCCTGGCTTTTTGGACGTGATGAGGGTGCAGGCTAGCCGACTCCCTTCCAGCCGCCCTGACACAGTGTCCTACAGCAGCTGGAGGCCTGTCGGCCCTCCCCTGCCTAGCCCTGCCTGTGTCAGCATTCC